CGCCGTCGCCGTTACAGTCGTGTGTCCTGTGTTACGATAAATCCGGTGTACCTATCTGACGGTGTCGCGACGCGCTCGGCAGGTACAATAACCCCCACTCCCACTCCTCCGTTACCGTCTGAATTTGTCATACTCGCGTATAAATAAGAAAATATTAATTATGTCGCGAACGAACGCGCGTGTAATGACGCCGGATGAGACCGATTGATTAATAACGACGCGAAAGAGAACACGAACACCGTAGACATAATAGTATTGTAACAGCGGACGTACGGTGATTGGCGGACCGTCCAACCGCCCCCTACCCTCAAGGTTTTCGCCACTATTATATCGCCTATAGCACTTTTGTTGACCGAATTTCGTTTCTTATTATGTTTGGAAACGCGGAGGGGCTACGCGTGGACCCCATTGGTCATTAGAGGGAGAACAGAGGAACGCGTCCCCCTTGGAAAACATTCAATTTCACAATAAATTATTTTTCTTAGGCATTGGCACACGACGCACGACGCACGGCCTAATGGACGATTACTGATTCACCCCTTTGTAACGGAATTATCATTACATTTTTTTACACGCCTGTTGGGTTCCTATATGCTAAGAATTAACGATTTTAAATGCGTGTTTGAATTCTCGGGTCCAGTTTGTCCCTCGTCTGAAAATTACCTTATATACGAGTACTCGTGGGGTTGTATGTACAATTTTTTTAAATATTTAAACTACCAACATTTGCATAATATTTTGCGTATGATTCGAGTAATACGTGTCCAACAAGGATAATGGCGTAAGGGTTGCGCTTGGTGGAAAAGTTCAATGGGGATTTTAATTTCGCCCCTCTCAAAACTGGGATAAACCACTTCTTCGTATGAATATACACTAGTTAATTTGTGTACCGTCATCATGATCACCAATACAACCACCAAATCACCATTACCATATTATATATATTATTATGGTATCGAGGCGGTCGAGTGTTGAAATTGATAAACGTAACAACTGATTGATAAATAAATAATATGCAAAATAAATAACACAAAAAACGGTTTACGGTTAGCCAGCTGTTGCCGTTCATCTTCGAACCTATATGATGAGCCGCTGTAGTGATATGGAAACGATTGCAAAAAGCAAAAACAGAACTCAAAAATTCCCTTCTGTATGAACGCTGTAAAACACAGACTAACACGAACAAATCGCAAATTATAAGTAATGAAGCGCATAGGTGAACTCTATAAACTTAATAACGACTAATGCACCCTGCACATAAAATGTATTGATATCATTGTAAAAAGTAACTTGATTGAATTCACTTTTGAAACACCATAATGTCACGATTGACAGAAATTAAATTGTTAATACGTTTAGAACGTTAACGAACTATTATTGTAAATGCGAATTTCCCGGCAATAAAATATGCGAATCCATACCTATATAATATATACGTAATAAGAACAAATACAATTCGGAGGTGTTTTCCATCTGTAGTACTATATAAATAAAACGCGATAAAAAATAAACTTGAGGCCTACAATATATCGGAGTCGTTTTATCATAAAAAGTTAAACGGCCCTGATGTACACGTACATAATAGTTATTATACTGTATGGCCACTGCAGGGTCGAATAATTAAAACAACTTTTTCTAGATGTCTACGATTTTTTCGTATCTTAAAAAAAAAAATTAATTAAAATTATCTAGACAAAAAAAATTATACATTTTATATTTGTATGATATGCATTTCGCGCCTGCTATATCGAGTTTAAGTAAATTACACTCGTTATCTCGAAAAGTATTAAATTTTTATCAAACATTTTTTTGTTGACAATTAAAGATACAAACAGTTCTAGAATGTTACATTGCCATATTATTTCCGTCACCGAAATTGTTTGTAGTGAAACGACTACTTAAATTAAAAGTTTCATAAATGGATGGACTATTTCAGACTAGTTCAAATAAATTTTCGTATTGAAACTTTTGATTGAAATTAGGTAGAGGTTTCACCTACAAAATATGGGTGACAAAAAAAAAGTGTTCTGCGAAGTATAATGTATATTACATAGATCAAGACCGAGAGAAATTAAAAGAAGTTTATTTGCATCAAAAATGGCCTCTAAAGCTGCCTGAATAAAAAAAATGTATACCTACCTATCGTAAATATATGTACTGATTTATAATTATTGTGTCACGATCGGCAAGGTTTTACACAAGACATTTTATTGTATATGACTGTTCGGACGGTATTTTATTTTATTTATTATATTGTGTTAAAGAATTTATTGTTATTGTTATATTTTCGGTCCGGACTCTCGGGGAAGACGGACTTAAATCAATTTTTTATTTTTCGTAATTTATTGTGATGTAATTTTTCCCCTTTATTTTTCTGTCTAAATCGCACGAGTGTATATGTATTTTAGAAATTATCGTGCGTAGCGCGTCGGTTTACGAACACAAGCGTACGCGTAATTTCAAATTCGGATTCGCTTGCTGTGAAATTTCTAAAAAAAATCGGCTCGTGTCCTTCTTCCCCGGGACCAAAGATCCATTCTGTGGACAACGCGGTAGTAACAACAGCGGAGCATTTCCGCAACCATTTCGTGTACATACAAACCAATAAAACCAATAAACCGTGTTGTTTAATCCTTTGTTTCGTATATACGTAGCGGCGCGTTATCGTGTTTTCTGTGGATTGAATAAAAAAAAAAAACCAAGAAAAAAGAAACGATGCACATTCTTATACGCGACTAATGTTTTCGACCGAGACCAATCGCGCGCGCGGAGTGTTGGAACTCCATTTTTCATTGTACACAATCGGTTTTCCAGCAGCAACGAAAACCGCGGGAGGGGGGTGGGGAAAGGGGGTGTGGAAATCAACTCTGACCATAAAAATAATATTGTTTTTTCCCGTCCAATGCTTTTCGAATTGGCACGCGGGCGGAATATTACTATATACGTATACATATATATATATACACACAGGTATATTTGCCGGCCGGATAATTTACACTGTATTATATGCGATCCGTGAAATAATAATCGTCTCCGCGAGATCTCGATCCGTGCGCAGTAATTTTATTTCGTCCGTTAAATCCAATAATAATATAATATATTTAATCTTGCGGAATTTTGTTTTTTTTTTTTCTATGTTTCTATTTAATGACGCAACCGTAAAATTTCGAATCTCTGCATTTGCGATTTCGCGACGGAACATCATCACAGACGCGCGGGGAAACATAATATTCGCGTTAACACGCGCGTGCATCGATTGGCGTCTGCAACGCCTTTTGCTCCGTGTATTATTGTACGACAATCTATTGCGATAACGGACCGTATCTCGCGTTAGGCAGATGCGGCCGATAAACACGATAAATAACTAACCTTAAAATGTTAGTATAATATTATGCATCGGACATGTTTAACATAATAGTAATCTACACAGATGATAGTCGCGAACAGTTCGTAAATACCAATAAAACTATTATTTAGCATTTTCCCGCGGTTTTATTTTTAAGTGTAGCGCCTTTTCTGAAAGTAAATCGGTGTGGGGATGTACTTTAGGGAGGTCGTTTTTCGATTTACCTAAGAGCTTTCACAGAAAACGCGGAAAACAGGAAAAATGGATGGAAAACGGGAAACTATATGAAATGTTGATATTAGTTGAAAAATGTTACGCCGTCAATTTATCGCATACATGTTACATACATATTTAATTCAACACTTTCCTTTCCATTTTCTACAAACTTGGGAATGCCTGCACATTTATTTGTTATGTAGGTATGGTTAAAAATGTTTACTGGTAGAAAAGTTGTTTGTATTGGGGGAAAAAGGCAGTAATGTTTCGTACATTTCGTACAGTTTTTCCTCGTTTATCGGGAAAACTAGGAAAATGAAAAAATGACGTCCTTAATGCACCACCCCGGTCAGGTTTAATTTCAGAAAAAGCGCTATATTTGTGAATCGGAACAAGATTTCTGGTAGAAAAGTTATTCATAGATGCAAAAATAAAAAATAACAATATAATAAATAAACACCATTGTAAAACCAATACGTTCGTCGTTTCGTTCAGAATCTAAAATAACTGTGAAGAAAGTCCTATGTCTGTGGAAAATGGGGTGGAAAGTGTTGAATTAAATATATCTGCAATAAACATATACGCGATGAATTAACGTTCGATGAGTTAACGTCACGATGAATTGACGTATATACATTATAGATTTCTAAAATTAAAACAAAAAATGCCCACACTATATTTGACTAGGATTTTGGTTACTGGGAATATTATTCTCCAACAATGAGTTACTCCCGCTGACTTTCGGCCTTTAGATGATTTGGCGCCCGGTGGAATTATTAGCATACACGGTACATATGAGATGGCGTTATGCTGCAGTTACTACTAAACACGAAATTTTCAAGACAACATCCTACCAATAAATGAACGAAACCGTGTTCGGTGTATTATAAATACAAATCGGCTGTAGCACAGCGCGCTAATACACTCGTGTGCAGACGTGATATTAAAAAATATCGTCGCCGCAAAAATGTGTAAACAATTATTTTTTTTTTTAAATTCTTGTTCCCATAGACGAATTTCGTTTACAAATTGATAAAAACAAAAAATATTATTTAAAAACGTACTACAACCACAATTTATAATATTTTATCTTACTCATAATATATATATATATATATGACAAAAAAAAAAAAATAATGCGTTTTTAATTAGAAAATAGTAAATATAATAGTAGAAATTTTAACAACAAAAAAATGGTTTATTTTTATTACAAAAAAAAAAAACTTTTGTTCAAAATAATAAGAAGGTATGAAAATTTGAAAAAAATGATAAAGTGTATTCGTGTACAACTGTACACTCAGCCGCTGTGGTTGGCAACGTTTACTTGTTAACGATTATAAAAGCTGATCAATATGAATTCATATCCAATATACAATGAACTTATTTATAGTGGGTTGACCATATACATACCAATTTCAGTTTCGGAAATTGTACGTATCTAATTTAGTGGATCGTTGACGACGCTGAACCCCCACGAGGTCAGCGTTTTTGGAAACTCGTCTATCATGTTGTCCAATTCGTTTATTAGGTACGCAATGTCTTTTCTTAGAGGATCGATTTTGTTCGTCAATTTTAAATCTTCATTGGAAGAGGACTCTTCGTTATGTTCCGCAAAGTCTTCAAAACCGCACGGGATCATTGGCGATAAGGTTATCATAGACTGAGTGGTCGATTCGGAATATATTTCCCGGCGTACTGAATGAGAATCTCCTATAGTCCTATATGTTTAACCTTTTCAGATGGAATCCCGAAACGTTTTAATAGTAGTCTAATTAATATTTCGAATAGTCTAAATAATATTTAAAAATTTTTACTTATAGTTAATTAAACTGTAAAACTATGCAAATTAAAAGCTTAATTATAGTTGAGTTTTAAATGCATACATTTTACTTTTACCGATAGTTAAATTTTTTGTATACTATGTGAATATTAAGCACTATCCTGTGGTGTCTTCGGGTGGTCGAAAGACGAAAAAGTTTATTGACTCTGATTGGTTCTCGAAATCTGAATAGGCGTCTATTGCGATTGGCTGTGATTATCGTATGATGATCATTTTTACACGGATACCTATAATAACGTTAATTTTTTTTTTTTTTAGTCAAGTTTACGTTGTTTTTTTTTCTCCTTGATATTTGTATTCTTGAACGAAAATATTGAGAATTTCAGGTATTTGTACAACGTCGCTCGTCGACATTGTAAGTACAGGTATACGCGTAAAATTGGTTTTCGGTCTCAAATAATTATTGTATTGTTGTCGTTGTCACCGGTGCGTTCCAATGTCAATGGGATAAATCGAAATCAAAACCGCGTCCGGCCGTATGACGCCACGGAAATCGCTATACGGTTGGTTTTTCGCGCACAATCAATACACGATTTTCCGTGTGACCAAACACAAACTGCGGCCCGGCTGACGTGACGGTAATACCATAGTATTATTATTATTATTATTGTATCGAGCACGCTGTATAATAGGCGATATGTATATAACACTGCAGTCTATATCGTTAATACAAATATGACGAATTAACGTGGAATACAGGCAATGCCGCAGCAGTTTATTATTGGTTCGAAACCATTGTGAATGCTCAAGTATGTGTGCGACTACGGCGACGAATAATGGATGTACGAACAGCAGCTGATATTGTGTATATTTTCAACACGTCATCACGAGAGACCTGTATACAGCCGAATCGCGCGTTATATTTCAAAATTAATGAGTTGAAATTTCAATATAGTTTCGAGAGAAAAGTATACACCTAGTGCCCGTCTATATATATTATTATCTTTCCTTTTATTACAGACGTGACGAAATTCGCAATACTAGATTAATATCACGATGAAATCTTACTATAATCTCGGGTTACATTATCGTGTGATGTGCATTGTACAATATACAATTGTAAAAACAATTTTACGCCGCGTTATCATAAGCGCGCGCGAGTCCGTTATGCAGGGGAGGCGGCGCTCAGAAACGTAGCCTTACACAAACCATTCACATTTCCCTTCTCCAATAATAACTATTACATTATTGAAATAATAAACGAATCTGGAATATCTGACAAACGGTACCGGTTAAAACAACGACCTTTTTAAATAAGTCCACTCCGTGCAGTAGTATAATGAGAACGCAAAATAATTGAAATTACATTCAAAGTTAACGCGCGTTTATAATATGCAAACTGTTGGATATTTGTAAACTACGGGTTATTCGTTTGATGATTTGTATGTTTAGAGAGCAAGAAAAACATAGACTACAAAATGAAAAATAACTAATTCGATTCAATATTGTCGAAAAACCTTTCTTTTTTTTGCCTATAAACGATGTTCCAAAAGGAATGGCATCGGTTTTAAAAGTATTATGACGCAGGAAGCAAGTGAATTAATATCTTAATTCAATTCAACATTATCATGTCTGAAGCAAAATAACTAATACTCTGAATGTGTGTGAGAATAACAACACGATTTAGTATAACACATGTATACTTTGATATTTTTTCCGCCTAAATATTTTAAACTGGATATTTTTTCTTTGGATGTTATGCGTATCCAGATATTTTTACCCGTATTCATCGTCGTCGTTTACTATACTACAACAGTACATATCTCGGTTTTTTAGTTTTACTGAATGATCAAAAAACATGATTTAAATGAATTACTCTCACTAAATTAAACATGAACTAATAATGTTTAATAAATATATTTTTCACTGATAATGTATTTCGTCTTTGTTATTGCGACTATATTGTCATGCGTTATTGGCTGAAATACTTTATGCTATTGATACAAGGTTTTGACATATTGTGTTATCATTTTCGTGATTTACAGTGTAACCACGAGTCTGAAAAAAACCATTTTATCGAATTTTAAGGTAGCTGTTGCAACGATTTTATAATATTCACTCGCGGTGGTGGGTAACGAACGAGTTTGGTAATATTATAGGATCTGTTTCGAATAAAAGCCAGGCGTGATTCAAATTTTAATCGTTTAAAAAAAATATTAATTATAAAAACATATAATAATATTACCTCTAAATATATTCTTTTTAAAACTGGTTACCCGCGTAGGTAGTCGGTTTTTTAACTATCAATATTCAGTTATAGTATCGCATATTATACGAGTAATATAGGTGTATACGTATAGGCACTAGGCAGGTACTAATCACATTAAAATATCGTATCCTGGTGCGTATACATATAATAATGTATTAAATAAATATTTATATTGCGTAGGTATTACTATATGGAAAGTAAACAGACTGCTAAAGCCGATTCATGATTATAAAACCCACAAAAAATGAATATCGCGAGTGGGCCGCCGACATGTTATAATAACATGATATTATACTGACATAGATATATAATAGTATAAGTTTACGTATTAATTCATTAAACGTTAAAAGTCGTTATTTGAGAATCTCGTGGTTTTGTGTAATATTTTAATCCGAAAATTTACGCGCGTTTCGGTAAAAAAAAATGCGTGTTTGTAACACTTTATTTTTACATCCTAATAATCGCATAAACTCATCGATAATATTATTATTATTAGGTATTATTTTATTGTTGTTTATTTATTTATTTTATTTTTTTTTTTTTAAGAAGCGTACGAAATATATTACGACTTTTATACCCATCTATAAATCTCTGGCCCTAGCTAAGGATGAAGGGTTAAGAACTGATTTTTTTTTTTTATAATTTCTACCTATACAAGAACCTAATTTCTTCCATCCCTTTTTTTTAAAAAAACAATTTATTTACATACGTGTATGTGTATTCAAAATACATGTTGGGTTTACTGTAAATTAAAACATATATTGATGTACTTTTTATTTTAAAAAATAGAGGCATAAGTTCTACAATTATCCTAGTTATATTAGAACACTTTTGAGGTTAGGTCTTGCATAGACTGCAAAAGCTGATAGAAGAAAAAGACGATTTGGGTTAGGGCATTTATTAATTTAGAAAAAATCCCATTGTGCCGTTTTTTAAAAATTTAATTTGCCCGTATTGAAAACTATATAAAACCGAATTAACCTTTCTTTCCTGGGACCAAACATGTAACGAATATAATTATAGGTATATTTAATATATTTCGCGTTTCGTTCTTCGGCATGTAGCCACTGTGGATGGTTATTACTAGGGTGCGGATTATAATGCAAATTGCTTTTTTTTTTCTCAAACTTAATTTTTCGAATTGTTTAATGTAGTCGTATTGCACTATTTGCACTGTTGTATTTAGTCAATTTATATATCTAATAAAACACGTTTAAAATATTTTCAGATATTTTTTCAAAAGGCATTTCTTAACCTTTTTGTACTCAAGTGCGTTAAATTGTATTTTTTAAGGCATTTGCCTTGTTTTATAGAGCATTCAAATCGGCTTCCTAGTTATTAAAAACATGTTGTAGACATAACAATAACATAATGTTTGGTGCCGTTGTTTTAATTCTGTCGCATATGCACGCCTGGTATACATAATGTACACTATACCAAATTGTATATTGCAGTGTGCAATTCCACCGTGAAATACATAACATTATCTTGTTTTGACAAATAATTTAAAAAACTTTTTGGATTTATATTATACATTTTACAACTTTTAAAACATTGCATTGCCTTTTTTTCGCCCTTAGATGTTCGGGATCGAAACCGCTACTACCAGTTTGATTATCAAATGGCAACCTTTATTACAAGTTCTATAAATATAGTACTATAAGAAGTATTAGTTCAAATAAACGTGTTGAAATTTTTAATTTCAGTCATCTCATCCCGAACCCGATGAGTGTCAAATACGTTAAACGAATCCGCGATGGTTATCAATTTATTTTATAGTAATTTCGGAGACCATCGTTGGTTTAAAATCGCGAACGAATCTATTTCCAGCTTAAATGTATAAAAAAAAAACCAGCGATTGCAATTATTATACTTTTGAAACGCAACAAATGTCGTCGAAGTACTATAATATTATTAATACATATGCGTATAGGGTATGCCGCATTTGTGTGTAATGATGACGTATATATACGCAATTGTTATACGAGTATACTCGTATTATTATATACGCGATGGGAACAAATAAAAGTAAAACTTCTAAGAGAAAAAAAAAAACTACAGTCCGTACTAATAATAATAATGGCAAGCGCGGGTAGGAGGGAGTGGGGGCTTGTGGAACTAATGGCCTCTCCTCTCTCGCCCGTTATCCCCACCCACCCTATAATAATATACGCTGTCAGTATATAGTAGTGTAATACGTACGGTATAAATTTTCGCTTTTAGTAGATTTTCGAGAAAGGAATCAACGCCCCGTGACCACCCGGTATAATGCAAACATTGTGTTTTAGCAAAGTCGTAAAAATACACGTTGCACGTATAAATATATATGGTATTATTATTACAGCATCAGCACACCCCAGGCCTCGATTTATTATGCCGACGCAGAAATTTTCCGAGGGATTTTTATAATACGAAATAGCTCCGGAACGGTCATTACAACGACGTACCGACGCACTCGAACCGACTCCTCGGTCGGCAATTTTCAATGGATTTATATAAGTATAATTAGAGGTTATTATTGTTATTTTTTTTTTTTTTTTATTTGTTAAAATGATCCAATTTCGCCCCACCCTACAATGTACATTAATGTAAAAATGCGGAATTTCCG